AGTAAGCTTGAAGGTACACAACAGAGCCTCTGTTCACTGGGGTCTGGGCAACACTTGGGAAGACAAACTTATACGTTGACAATGTTTTTGTCTGTCTGGTTTCAGTTTGGAGTTCTCACTTAAAGACAGGCATGCTAAAAGCAATGGCCTCATTTTTGGAAGGGCTGAACAACCTCTCCCATAAATTTGGGAACCTAGTTTTGAAAGCTTTTTCCTGTGGCTAGTATCATAGCCAAGAAATTATCATAGCTGAGTTATTCTGGAGATCCAGAAGTTGTTTGTTTCACACTTGCTTTTCATCACGTTCTGTCTCTGAAGGAAGTTGTTGCACACTGGATTGCAGAAAGCCGCATTGCTATCGAGCAGGCCCGACTGCTTACCCTGAAAGCAGCCAGCAGCATAGACACGGTGGGCAACACAGAAGCCAGGAAAGAGGTAACTTATGGCCCTTGGAGTAGGGAGGAAGTGGGAGGCAGGGGCAAGCAACCAAGCAACGCTCTCAAGAATTTCTCATTGTGGGAATGGAGGTTGATCTTTCAATTGAATACTTAACCAAAACTAGCCTGCTGATCAGCATTTTCACCATATTAACCAAAAGTGCTTTTCCTTTTTTCACTTGCCAAATTTCCTCAATTTTGAAAAATAAAGACATACCAGAGGTAATTAAGGTATTTAAATCACTGATTTGTCTTAAATAGAAGGCATTATTTTTCCAAGCAGGGGGTAGGAGGCTTGAGTCTGAAGAGGTTGAGAATCACCAACCTACATCAATTCTGTGGGCCCCAGTCTCCTTCCAGTTACAACAGCATGAAATCAGTGGCATCACTGTTTATGGATTAGACACTGCACTGGGAGCATGGCTTCTTCCGTCTTTCCCTGCAACTTCAGATACATCAAGGAAACAAACAGCCAGGCCTAGCAAAAAAAATGCAATTGCATTTCTGCTTTAAGGCATGAAGCCACTTGTCTTGGCACAAGACTACAACATTTCTGTAACATCTATAACTAGAAAGGGCCACTAGAGGAGAGAGTACGGTACTAACTAGCAAGTAGGATAGTCCCCACCATCACGCAGCCATCAAGAAGCATAAGACCTGCTTCTCAAACTAGTTCTGACCCTGGCCTTTCTTCTACTCGTAGTTTTGGTTACTATTATTAATTTCTTTTGTAACAGTTCAGACACCTTGATCATTGTTGGTCATTGTATTGATGACATGGAGCTCTCAATTCTGTGCCAAAAAGATTAGGATTAAGGATTATACTTGGCTGATTTAAGAGCGAATCACAGAACCTTAATCTGGGACACTTTTGTGCATACAGTTAATTTGCATTCATTCTGTTCAGGGGCTAAGGGTACTCTCAAGTCTTTTTGCATCAGGCCCTAATGACACATTGATTCAAATACAGGCAACCCTTGCTTAATGCTGCTTTGCTTAGCGCTATTTTGCTATAAAATTGATATTTAAAATTGATACCTGATTTCACTTAGCACTCAGTGGGTTTCATTATAACACTCGCGGTCTCCATCCCGGGTCATTAAAAACAATTGCAGTCATCAGATACTTTCAGTTTTGCTTAACGCTTATTTCACATATGCTCAGTTTTTCAGGAACCAATTGAGAGAGAGTGCTAAACAGGGGTTCCCCATATGGTTCATGACCCAGCGGTCTCTTCCAATTCCCAAATGCAGCTTACAGCACTGCTGTCAAAACTAAGTGTGTACAACACCTACCCACTGAGGTTTTTCCTGAAAAGTCAGTGTTAAGTCCCCTTAAACATACAATTCAGCTCTTGGATTTGGTTCTGTGAAAGATGTAGGAAAAGTGGTATGAAATTGCTGCATATCCTATCCTCCTAGTGGTTAGAAAGAAAACAAGCCTCTCTACAATGCCTAGTTGACAGTCTACCATTTCTTTTTTTAAAAAAAAAAAACAAAAACAAACAGATAGCCATGATCAAAGTGGCTGCACCAAGAGCAGTCCTTAAAGTGGTGGATTATGCAATCCAAGTCTGTGGAGGAGCCGGAGTTTCCCAGGATTTTCCTTTGGCTCATATGTGAGTAGAATTTTTACCCAAGAGTACCTGCATTTCTACTTTCTAGGGAAGCTGCTTCGAGTGATCAGAGCTTCAGGTGCTCTTGACCTGAATTTTGCCATGACAGACTCTTACAGCCCCAGTAATGAAAATCTGTCCTCAGATGCAGCATCGTGATCCAAATCCAACTTGAATAAGCACAGCATTTTCTACATGATCTCATATTTAAGTGTTTGTTGATAAAGGTTATGGAGAACCATTATGAATATCGGTCTGAACTCCACAGACTAAGCTAGTTCTGGTATCAGTATCAGTCTGGCCAAACTTGCAGTTCTTAGCTAAGCAGCAGGGTATACTACACTTAGGTTAAGCATCACATTAGCATAGCCAGACTGCTTGCAGGACTTGAGCCATCTTAGTTGTGGTATGCCATGTTGAGGCATTTTTGCACAAATATTAGTGCAAAATCTGATTAAAACCTTCCCCCAAGGCAACCTCAGTGTTGGCTCCTTGCTTGACCCCAAGTATCTTACCAGTGATGCTCAACTAGGGTGCTCCAGCACCCTGGGATATATTGGGATACTATCAAAGGTGCCACGCAGTGCTAGCACTCTTAAGTGCACAAATACCATTCACAAAGGAAACCCAGAAAGTTCCAATAAGAACCTAGTGTTATAAATAGTTGGACCTGTTGCAAATTTTGAGTTCTTTGCAATAGAAGAATTGCTGTTGTGTTTGCTCACATTTTGACTACAGAAACAAAAAGAGTTGGCACTTTTTCCAAGGGGTGCCTGGAGTCTAGGCTGAGAATCACTGATCTACAATCAGTGCTGTGTGTTCCCATCTTCTCCCCATTACAACAGCATAAACTCAAGGGCAGCACCGACTAGGGATTGAACACCACACTGGAAGCCTGCATTACTGGCGTTGAGGCATGAAGCCACTTGTCTTGGCACAGGAAGACATTTCTGTAATACGCCAGTAACCAGCAAAGGCCTTCAGAGGAGGGAACATGGTACTAGTCAGCAAGTACCATGCAGCCAAGAGCCACAAGGTTTGCTTCCCAAACTTTTCCTGTGAGATCTCTATCTGTACAAAGGCTTCCATTTCAGACAGCCAGATTCAGATAGGATAGTACTATTTTCACCCGAATAGCTGCATGTACTAAGGATTAGTTCCAAGGCCAGCATTGCTCACTAAAACAACCATCATTGTTTAAATGAGTTACATGAAACCATACATTAAAAGCAAGCAAACAATCTATTGCAAAATGGCAAAGGTTTTCCACTTCTCTGGTGTCAGACTGTCTTGACACTAGCAGGCTATAGAGCCCACCACTGACTCAGATCTTCTTGTTCAGGTTTGCCCTTACTCGGACCCTGCGAATAGCCGATGGACCTGATGAAGTTCACCTCTCAACAATTGCGAAATTGGAACTACGAGACCAAGCTAAGAAACTGACTGCAAAAATGTAGTGTTTAAGTCATCCTGTGTACAGGTTCACATTGCATCTGCTTTAATAAAGAACCAAGTTTAATCCTCTGAATACAAGACCTTTCCCCTGAATTACAAGGAATAGTAGAGGGAACGATGAAGGTAGCTCAACTTAGTTACCCATATTTGATTTTCTGACTGGGTCGCTTAATTTGGATTCTGCTTAAACACTGCTTCTCAGGAAAGAGTTGCTAGAGTACCAGCCTAAGCTGCCGAGGCAGTGACTTAAAGAAGGTTATTTTGGAGTCTTTCCTTGGTCTTGCACCAGCACATTCCTTGATCAGTTTTGCTACAGGTGCCTGGAGAAGAATGTGAAGTGATCATCATCTGTCTATACTCACAAATAAAAGTGCCTTTAAAAAACAAGCCAATTACCTCCATGAATGCAAGATGGAGGAGGTACTAGGGTTTTAGTTTCCACCCATCGCATGTACCTGTATGGTAAGCAACTCCTGCACTCTCCCTCCCCCCAAACTGTGTAGCTGTTTCATACTTTAAAAACCATATACCTTCTAATCTCAATCCTCATTTTTTTAGAATCATGTGTTGATGATCCAAATTCATGTTCAGTTATGCTCAAGAGTGTACATGTAAATACACCTATGCTAAATCATGTTAAAGTGAAAAAACTTTCTAAATAAAAACTGTTGCATTTTTCAAATATGATCAATCTATTTGAGCCTCATCAGGAAAGGGAAGATATGGATATTTGCAATGACAACAAAGCATTCTAATTCAGGATTTATTCATTATAGTTCTTTCTAAATAGCTTGGTATTTTGCCCCCTCCCCCCCTTGGAAAGTGAAGAAAAACAGACTCCTGCTACATTCTAGTACCAAGTCAAAAAGTTGTTATCCGATCATGAGACACTTAGTTCAGGTAGAGATGTTTGCCTATAGGGA